TAGGATTCACAAGTTATTAAACTTTATTTTATTTGTTATTCTAACTTGCCTAAAATATGTTCTCTAATTATGTCGCCAGCTCTCCGGCTAGTAGGTTCCTTTACTTCATATAAACTGCTTGTTATACAGTTAGCCAAAATATTACTTCTCCAACTTGTGTGTTGTTGAACGACCCTGAGTTGTTATACTACAATATGTATTAGGTAATCTCTAAAATCAAAATAAGATAAAAATGTTTATTGCGAATAATTGTTTTGTTAGTAATGAGATTAAAATTGCATAACTTTGTCTGGGATAAGCAACACTTTTTCCCTAAATTATATGCACGCCAATGGGCATAACAACCACTGTATACAGTATAGAAATGATTTTTTGTAAAATATTTACTTACTGGTAGATTTCGAAAAGTAATTTCAAAAATTTACTAAATAATACTTGCACTAAAACCTCGGTCATATTTAGGCATAAATAATAAATATTAGTTGCACATTATTAAAAAAAATTATACAGATATTGGTGGTACAGTAAACAACCATTAAAACAGTTATATATCAAAGTTATAAGAAAGTAATCATATATTTTTAAGGTTAAAAACTTATTAATGTAAATTTCAAATTAATTTGCATACTAAATTTCAAACATAAATCACATAAATTCGTGGCTATCATAACCCGACTAATTATGCTAAAGGGAAGTTTAAAACACTGTTAATAAAACACTTAACCAAATATTCCGAGTAATAAAACAGAATAGCGCCGTAAAACTGCGGGAATTGTTTTTTTATGGGGACAGATATACTCATGAATATGTATGAGCGACTCTCAAGCATAACATTTGAAAAATTCTGCTTTAATCTCCTAAGAAAATTTGTAGTTACGATTTGTTTATCTGTGTCAGTAAAAGAGTAAATAAAAATCTCATTATTTTTTTTTGCTTTATGTACAGGGTACTCCAAATTAGAGGGTTTTCATTAATTATTAAGTGTCAAACCATCAGAAAAATTATTTCCATTTTCTGTCAAAAAAAAACAATTATTTGAATTTCGTGTGTTATAAATACTGCTGCTAAAACTTTATAAATTTTATTTATAAAGATATAGTTCGTGTTTTAGTGATATTTAATGGCAATATGGCAGAACCAGAGCTACTACACGTCGTACGCGACGTACGGACTTGGACGAATGGCAATATGACATGGTCAGATAGTTTACATCAATAGTTTTATTACATAGTTTTACATCACTTGACGTTTAAATTCATACGTTACTGGTTGAAAACCAAAAAAATATACGCTTTGAAACCAAATCTTAAATAACTAAAAACGATTTATTTTAGGTATAGGAACATGTATAACCAAACAGTAACGAATTGAAAAACCTTTTCACTAATGAAATAAAAAAGTCAGTTTCCATTTGCAAAAAATGACTTATGATAATTTTTTAATCTCTCGAGTCCATGACAGCTACGGCCAATATTATATAGTATTTAAACAAATTAATTTTTGAAATAGATATCCACCTGTCTTCTCTTTAAGTCACAGCGACTGGGGTTATCACTAAATTTGACGTATAGGCTATACAATTTTTTTTTGATAGGCAGTTTCAAAAATTTCAAATATTTTTTTTTCTCAAAAACGGTTAATGTTAGGTATAGAGTGTTTGATATCAAAATTCATTAAATTTTATAGAGAATTCAAATATATAACAAAAATGGGGGTACCCATTTAAAATAAGAAAGTTGCTCTCAACTTCTGGTATTTTCGGAAGTGCCGCCATATTGAAACTATTTTTAACCGATAGATCTCATTATAAAACAACGATCTGCAAAAAAATTCCGATCTAGATATTGTTGTATAAGTTCTTTAGAAACTTCTAATGCACGCTCAGCCGGAAACACCCTGAATATCTTTTCGACTTATATGGTTGTTAAAGAAAATGTCAGATAGAAACGTCGAATTTGACATTTAATAGAACAATGTTCTAAAGGAAAAAAAAGAGACAATAATGAAGGCCCTAAACACCCAGTAGTAATTTTATAAAACTACAAATTTAGTTTCTTTGTTGTCAAAATGTTTCGTAATTCGTCAAGTTCAATAATTTTAAATAATTATTTATTCCGATTTTCATGATTTGTCGGAACGTTTGATGGTTTGTGTTTATAGTTTGTGTTTTTTTAGTTTGTACATTTTGATATTTACTGGCGATCATCATTTTCATGTTAGATACTGAGATATTTTAGAGATAATAATAAATTTATGAACGAAATCAATAACGTAATTAGAAATAAGTACAGAGTTGGTAATATATAGTATTTTTAGTAACAGTGAATTAGTAGTCTATAATATTTTCACGATATTATAATTTATTAGTTAAATTAAAATAATAGGCCAAATGTGTTCTATTGTTGTGTTTCAAATCTATGTATCATAATTTTATTTTTGTTTCAACTATGTTACACTTCTAAAGATATAATAAAACATACAATGGCAGTAAAACCTATAGTAGTAAAAGGTGTATATTTACTATTTTATATTTTACAAGGAATAATTTTGCGCTTGAATTAGGTTACCGTTTTAGTTAGCATTAAAATGTAACGGAACGCCAAAACTCTCGATTAGTTTCTTCCAGATCACTAGGTGGCTCTAGATGATAACCGATTTATTTGTTTTATTCAGTGTCCCATCTATCCCTATATAGTACATGACATTTGTTTATGAGTAACATCCTAATAATTACACACGCTTTTTTTTGCTCGTGTTATTATCTATCACCTTACTATTACCCTTATTGTATAAATAATACTTAAGATTTCATTGAAACAAAATAAAAATAACATGATAAACCATACAATCTACTACAATCTAAAGCATGTTGTTGTAATTTTAAGCAGCTCTATCATCGAGCAGTCAACACGCACAATGTAAGGTTTAAAACCGATATTGAGCCGAAACAATGAACCACAAAACAAAGCGGCTTTATTGTAACGCAATTAACGTCATCAGTTATGTAGGGCCTCTACAGCCAGTGTTGGTTTATTAGTCTTGCCAGATTTATTTACGCCGCGCTGCCATTCAAACTGAAATATTACATTGAAGAAAATACCGAAGCCGTCTGCTTAATTTCACTTGATTGATGGATGGAACAATGCACGAGTTAAACGCGAACGTTAAGATTATAACACGATATTTTATTGTATATTACCGCAGGATGGTGCTATAAGATCATTTATCTGAAATACCAAAATATATCTTTAGTTAAGTGTCCTTATGCCAGAACTAATCTTAACGGAGCCTACTTCGTTTACCGGGATTCGAAATCGCGGTCCTCGGCCAAAGTTTTAGAAATGTCTAAGGCATTTTTAGAAAACCGTCAAGTAATAAAAAACGCTGCTGAGACTATCGAAATGTTGGTCTAATAACACTTTTGACGTTTAAACTGTTACTTCAAAAGCAACTTTTTTCCAAAGCCTACCATAATTTCACCAAAGTTCACTGAGGCCTCGTTTCTTGTTCACTGTCATTGTGTTAAACTTTTGAACTTTTAGTGGAGAGAATTAAAAACACGTCTGACTTCTGCTAATGTCTTTATTCGTCTCTTGTCGGGAAGGCGTAGAGGCGCACAACCCAGTGGCGGAGTTCAGGCAGAGGCGTAGACATACCCCCGGCCTTGAAAGCTATTAGCTTTCAAAATATAACAGTTATAACATAATATCAAAGTTAACAAACTACAAATAATATTGTATGAAATTGGGTACAATTTAACTTTAAAATATTATGAAAATAACAAAAAACAATTTAATCAAAATATTATAAAATAAGGAAAAACCAACTGGTGACATGCGACACTGTAACTTGCATTCACTAACCGGCACTATTACGAGCTTTTGTCACACATTTCCGTAGCCACCGGTAACTTGCACAACTTTGCTAACGATCGTCGAATCACCTTGCCGCTACCGATGATGACGTCTGCTACTCGTGCTACTCCATCTGGGCCAACACAGAATCCCTGGATACGCCCTAATAGCCATTTTAACGGTGGCGCATTGTCGTCCTTGATAACAACTAGGTCACCTTCAGTGAGTGGCTGAACATGTCTTTGCCACTTGGATCGAACTTGCATTTCAGATAGGTACTCACGAGACCATCTCTTCCAGAAGTGCTGCTGGAGCTGTTGAATATACTGGAACCTCGAGAGGCGATTCATGGCTAAGTGAGTCAGATTTGGATCGGGCAAAGTGGCAAGACATCGACCAATAAGGAAATGAGAAGGAGTTAATGCTTGAAGGTCTGATGGATCGGAGGAGATGGGAGTAAGTGGTCTTGAATTCAGAATGCTTTCAATTTCAGTTAAAATTGTTGCTAGTTCCTCAAAAGTACATTTAGCGTCGCGTAAAACTCGTTTTAAATGGGCTTTCGCGGATTTGACGCCCGCTTCCCATAATCCACCCATGTGAGGCGAGAATGCAGGAATAAATTTCCAGTTAACACCAATAGTGGAAATGCTTTCTTGGAGAACATTTTGATTGTTAAAAATAAATTTGCTAAGTTCTTTAAGTTCTGTGTTAGCTCCAACAAAGTTGGTACCATTATCGAAAAACACTTCAAACGGTTTGCCTCTTCGAGCAACAAATCGCCTGAAAGCCGCTATGAAACACTCAGTGGTCAAGTCACTCACTAACTCAATATGAATACAACGCGTCGTAAAACAGACAAACAAGCAAATATATGCCGTTGAGGTTTTTGCTCCTCGACCACTTTTAGTTTTAATCAAGATTGGACCCGCATAGTCTATGCCCGTCGTAAAAAATGGAGGGGTAGGAGAAACACGCTGTTTTGGTAAGATTCCCATTATGGGCATTTGATTTGAAGGCTTTACTCTAAAGCATCGAACACAACTGTGGACAGTTTTTCGTGCTAAACTTCTACCACCCAAAGGCCAAAATTTCTCCCTTATTGAATATAACAAATGTTGAGGTCCGGCGTGGTATAGACGCGCATGCTCATAAGTAAAAAAGCTTAGTTAAAATGTGACTACCTGAAAGGATTGCAGGATGCTTCTTGTCAAAAGTAGCAGAAGATTCTTGCAGGCGTCCACCCACACGAAGTACACAATCCCTGTCGATAAAAGGGTTGAGACTTAAAATTCGAGTACCTCTTTGTAATGGTTTATTTTTTGCTAACAGAGTAAGTTCTTGACCAAAACTCTCTCGTTGGGAAACAATTACCAAATATTTTGTGGCCTGATCAAGTTCAATTGCGGATAGTGGCTCAAAGATTCTGGTTGTTTTTGGCTTTTTACAATTTGACATAAATCTGAGACACCATGCAACTACCCTTTGTAATCTTTTAAAAGATGAAAATCTCGTCATTGGAAATGGATCGGAGAGCTGCACGGAATAAGTAACAACTTCTTTCCTTTTTTCAGGAAGTTCACCCTTAAATTCAACCAAAGATTTTGGCCAATCACTTGGCGACTTTTGCAACCAGGGAGGTCCTGACCACCACAAACTCATCGCTTCAAGTTCCGAAGGATTTACTCCACGAGATAATAAATCTGCTGGATTATCCTTGCCTGATATATGCCTCCAGTCTATTGGATTGATGATATTTTGAATTTGACTAACTCTGTTTTGTACAAATACTTGCAATAGACGAGGCTCTGTTTTTATCCATGCTATACAGATACTGGAATCACTCCAGAAATATTGCCTTGTAAAACTTAAATTTAAAGAAGATTTGACCTTGTCAAACAGTTGGGCGAGCAATAATGCTCCGCATAGCTCGAGTCGAGGAATTGTGAGAGATTTTAGTGGTGCTACTCTAGTTTTAGCACACAGAAGCCTAACGAAAACATCGCCCATGCTGTTTGAACTACGAATATATATGCAAGCCCCGTAGGCTTCCGTAGATGCGTCGGAGAAACCATGAATTTGAATTTCCTTGCTAGAATGACATATAACACATCTAGGAAGTTCGACCTTGTTTAACTCTAGAAGCTGCCTACGAAACAATCTCCATTTTGTGTCTAAATCGGAGGGTAGACTTTCATCCCACGATACCTTAAGAATCCATAACTTCTGCATTATGATTTTTCCAATCACAACACACGGACCCAGTAAACCCAAGGGGTCAAAGATCTGGGCAATGTCAGATAACACAGTTCGCTTAGTTATGGCTTTGGAAGAAGGATTACTGATGTGATACCTAAGGAGATCTTCAGATGAAGCCCAAAATATACCTAAAGTTTTTGTTTTTTCGCCATCACCAAGTTTAAAAATGGCTGACGGATTTGATGCTTTAACATGCTTTAATACTTCTGAGTTATTAGAAGCCCACTTTTGCAAAGGAAAGCAGCCTGACTGAAGAATATCGGTTACTTCGCTACAAATTTTGATCACCTCACCAGGCGTGTCACCGCCAGTGAACAGATCGTCCATATAAAAGTCTTTTGATATTATCTCAGAACTTCTGGGATAAACATCTGAATTTTCTAATGCTAATTGCTTAAGACATCTAACACTCAACCAAGGAGAGGAGGCCATGCCATAGGTAACCGTGTTTAGCTCATACTCTTGAACTGGTTCGTTAGAACTTATACCCCACAGAATCTTCTGGAAACATCGCTGAGATGGATCAATTAGTATCTGCCGATACATTTTGATGATATCTGCACAAACGACTACCTGATATTGCCTGAATCGCAACAAAATAGACACTAAGTCATCCTGTATTGTCGGCCCCACGCATTGTAACTCATTTAGCGACAGACCTGAATCTGTACGCGCCGAGGCGTCGAATACAACTCGTAATTTTGTCGTTTGATTTTGTTCCTTAAAGACCCCGTGATGAGGTAAAAAATAACCTTGTTCAGAATTAGACTTTGAAAGTTGCATGTGACCAAGTTCCAGATATTCTTGCATGAAATCTGTATAATGTTGCTTCATTGTAGAATCCTTGGACAGCTTAAACTGAACCGAACACAAACGCTTCTGAGCAACCTCACGTGATTCACCCAACAATGAAGGAGACTTTTGAAAAGGTATTTGTACGATAAATCTGCCATCGCGATCACGTCGAGTAGTTTTTTGAAACAACTCCTCGCATTGTTTTTCTTGCTCAGAAAGGGTACTTTGCTTTGATTGGATTTCCTCGACTTCCCAGAATGCCTTAATTTGATTCTGAAGTTCTAAGTTTGAGACATGCTTACAAATAGTTTTTGAGTTAGGTGGTGACGATACTGAACCTGATACTAGCCAACCTAGTACGGATTTTTGTAAGGTAGGCTTACCATTTCCTAACCTTACTTGACCAATGCACAAAAGATCATAGAAAATACTAGCTCCAAGAAGAATATCGATTTTGTTTGATTTGTTAAATCTAGGATCAGCCAAACGAAGATTTTTTGGAATATTGAGATCGGAACTATCAAATGATAGCTCAGGCACAAAATTATTGATAACTGGTATTACTAAACATGAAACTTCTGATTTGAAAGAATTTGACATGGATCGTAAGGAGATTTGGCACATTTGATTTACGTCAGAGATTGCTTGGTTAATTCCTACTACCGAGATATTTGCCCTTGAAGTCTCCAACCCCAACCTATCACAACATTCTTTTGTTACAAAGTTAGATTGGGATGCAGAATCTAGCAAAACTCTACATTCTTGCCACTCCCCCGACCGTGACAACACTTGAATAAGAGCCGTAGACAATAGAATCGTACTTTCGCATGAATTTTGTCTATTTGAAGCGCAATTAAAAACTTTTGTTTGATCTGTGGTTCTACTATCCCCAGCACCATTTTGTTCATCCCCCCTTGTTCTCTCACCTGATTTCGTTACCAAATGTAGCAACGTGTTATGCCGACCCCTACATTTTCTACAGTTTCCAGCAAAACAATTTTTGCTAAAATGATTACCACGCAAACAATTTGTGCATAGTTTAAGACTTCTGACCTTTTCGATTCTATCGTTAACACACAGTTCAAGAAACTTTGTACAATTATGAATAAAATGAGAGGAACTTTTGCAAAAAACACACTGTATATTTTTCTGAGAGACGGGTTTTGCTTGTGATTCATTATTAGAAACTTGTTGGTCTGTTTTGTACGCTAAGTGTGTGGATCGTGAGCTCTTTACTGGTTTATCTGACATTAAATTTAGAGTTTCTAATAAATCGGCCTTTTGTTTTAGAAAATTTTTAAAATCTATCAAAGTTGGTAAATTAATGCTATCTGAACTTGACTGGCCTTGATTGGCACACAACTTAACTCGCCTCTCTTCCCATTCGCGAGAGGTTTTCTTGTCTAATTTGTTAGTAATAATATAGATTAATAACGTATCCCACGATTCTGTTGGCTGTTTTAAAATTTTTAAAGCTCTTAAGTGCTTGGCTAAAGAGTCTAATATTCTTCTTAACTCAACCGCTGACTCAAAATTTAATGGTTGCATGTCAAAAATGGACTTAACATGATTATATACCAAGACACCACCATTGTTAAATCTTGCCAATAGAGTGTCCCAAGCGACTGTATAATTATCTGCACAAAATTCAATTGAGGTTATAACCTGAGCGGCACTTGATTCCAAAGCAGATCGTAAGTAGTGAAACTTCTGAATTTTTGATAGATTGTTGTTACTATTGATCAAAGAGTCGAATGTATCCCTGAATTCTAGCCAGTTTTCGTACTGACCAGAAAACTTCGGAAGTTTTATTTCAGGAAGTTTCACGTTTTCCGTCTGCCTCGAATCATGATTTGATACTCTAGAATGATTAGAATTTGTGTCTGAATAATTGTCATTATTTTGTTTTATATCTTGGTGATAATCGTCTAAAAAACTTTTGCCCTTGCTAATTAACTGAAAATACGTTTGCTCAAATTGTTCTCTTTCTTGTGTTTGTTGTTCATAAAACTCATCATCATCTTTACACAATTCAATTTTTTCCTGCACCCCGTCGAACTCACTTAAAATACCCTGATACCTTTCAAATCGCGCCTCAAACTCTAAAATTGTGGTTTTATCAATTTCTGAAAACGTTAGACCCCCTACTACAGTAGTAAAAAAATTATCAATATAATTTTTAAAACTTGTTTGTTTTCTTTTTATAGTCGCCTTTTTGTTTTAAAGATTTTTAACTCTTGCGCGAGATCACCCTGTACATTAACGTTTAATTCGTTATCAGACATTCTGAATTCGAACTAAGATACGGCTTTAAAATAATGCAGAAAAGATAAGGAAACAAAATAAAAGGATCTGACTCACCGCTCACCGACGGGCGTCGACAAAGGGCTGGCTGGCTGATTCAAGGCCGCTTCTCGGTAAAAAAACAGTCGACCACCTGCATACACGTTCGCTGCGTCGCTGATTTTTCGATGCAACTCCGCTGACTCACTGGTTGATATTAATTTTCTCGGTTTTTCGGCTTTTACACCTGGTTTTTCAATAAACTTTTCTTGATACGTTGTGTTGAAACTTCTGATTTGCTGATTTTTAAAGAAATCCAGTTCGAAGGACCAAATTTTATGTTAAACTTTTGAACTTTTAGTGGAGAGAATTAAAAACACGTCTGACTTCTGCTAATGTCTTTATTCGTCTCTTGTCGGGAAGGCGTAGAGGCGCACAACCCAGTGGCGGAGTTCAGGCAGAGGCGTAGACACATTGGCATCTTAATTTTGAGATAATAATACATTTGGTATTATGATATGTTATCGATATTAGAAGATTACTATTATTATTATTATTTGAATGGTCATAATCAAAAGGTATATATATATACATATCAATGGTCATAATACTTAAAGGCATGAATATCGATAGCCGAGATATCAGGATAATAGCAAATCTTTATTGGGGACAAACAGCGAAGGTTATAGTGGACGACCAACTTTCTGATGAAATAAAGATTCTGAGCGGCGTTCGTCAAGGATGTATACTTTCTCCGCTATTGTTTAATATATATAGCGAATCAATTTTTCGGGAGGCCTTGACTAGTAGAAAGGAGGGCATCACTATTAATGGGCAGGTCTTAAATAATATGCGGTTCGCCGACGATACCGTCCTTACAGCAGACAACGTGGAGGGTCTGCAAACACTTCTACAAAGACTAAACAACACGTGTAGAGTCTATGGCCTGAAAATGAACCCTCAGAAAACTAAATTTATGATCATCACTAAGAGAGAAGATGTCCAAGCCAATGTTCTAATAGATGATACACCTATGCAGAGAGTACAAAAATATAAATATCTAGGCAGTTGGTTGACCGAAAACTTGGATCAATCAGCAGAAATAAAAGCTCGAATAGACATAGCTAGAGCAGCCTTTGTAAAACTCAAAAAGTGGAGATATCAACTTAAAGCTTAGATTAAGAATGCTAAGGGGTTACATATTTGCAACTCTACTCTATGGTTCAGAGGCTTGGACACTTAAAAAGGCCGAAATGGAGCAGCTTGAGGCATTCGAAAGATGGTGTTATCGGCGTATGCTGAGGATTGCATGGACTGACAAGGTCATGTAGGTAAATACTAACAAGGTAAATGTAGAACTGCGACGCAGAATTCAGAAGGACAAAGAGGTGATTAACACCCTTAAAAAGAGAAAGCTTGAGTACTTTGGACACATAATGAGAGGACCTAAATATGCCCTGCTGCAGAACATAATAGAAGGAAAGATAAAGGGCAGAAGGAGCCAAGGAAGAAGAAGTACATCATGGCTCAAGAATTTGAGAGAATGGTTTGGAATGACTTCAAACCAGTTATTCAGAGCAGCCGTTAACAAAGTTAGAATTGCCATGATGATTTCCAACCTCCATTAGGACATGGTACCCGAAGAAGAAGAATCAAAAGGGCTACTGATTTAGTTAAGGACTTATTTTTTCGTATTTATTATATTTTCGCTAATATCTTCGCTGCGAAAAAGGAAAAAAAAATGCGGTTTTCGCTAAATATTTAAGCTTTTGCTCCTTTTTATTGTCAGCTAAAATTATATAGAGGGTGTCAAAAAAATAGTATATCTATTTGGTGAGTGATTCTACTGATAAAAATAAGAAAAAAAGTTCCTATAAACATATGCCCTAAGACGGCGATACCCCCCCCAAAGCTGTTGATAGCAACATTAGAAGAAATCTTCCGTCAACTGGACTGGACCAACAAAGGATTAAAAATAGGAGAACTAGGTATACATTATAAGAAAACTGCAGGTTGCACAACGTTCAATGGAACGAGATATACTGGAAATAACCTTAGAAAAGTAAACGTAAAGATTTCAGTTAACGTCTCCTTTTTGCTGTCAGGGCTAATCTGGACGGGCCTATTTTTTTACGCGGAATCCGAACCGCGGTCCTCGGCGGTCCATATCATGGTCCATGGCCTACCGACTTAGGAAGTGTCTAAATCAACTCTTACTCACGAGATATCCGATCTCATCCGGCCTCGAGCCGGCGCGAATGAGCAGCGTGTATCAATAGATTTTACACTTTTCCCTTGGACAACAGCACGATACAGAGTTTCGAACCGTCCACCCGTCCATCCACCAGTATCGCCTTACGTCGCTTAACTTCGGTGTTCTAATGGGAACCGGTGTTTCAACGTAGCTAGGCCGTTGCTTTAATTACCTTATATCTTATAAACATCGTGGATAAGTAAATTCGCTTCATTTTTGTTGAAGACGCGTCACCGACATTCGACTCTCTGATTATCTTTGCCTTTGACACTGACTGACCAATCAACTGTCTTTCTTTTGGGTATATGTCATTTTTATATCATAAAATAGAGAATATAAATATATAAATTAGAGAAAATAATAATGTTATTCAAATATTATTTTTTTCTAAAAATTTAAGATATCGTCGGAAATCTAAAATATCGTCGGAAATCCAGATTAACTCTTTATTCTCACGGGTCAAACAGTATAGAAAAAACACAAAAAGTGGCATTAATAATTTTTTTTTATTATTTTGATTTTCCAGTGTTTATGGAACCATTTTATTCTTAAGAGTTGTCTAAGATGTCTCTGCTGCAACTTGTTTAATGCGTTTATGTGTCGGCGGTACGGCACCCATGTTTCGCTTCCATATAACATGGTGGGAATTATTATCGCTCGGTACACCGCAAGTTTCGTATTTGTGCTCAAGTCATGATTGTAGAAAACCCTGTCTTTTAATTTCCAGAATTCTCTTGAGGCGCTGCTAATCCTGTGCTGAATTTCAGAGTCGATATTGGCCTTTTCCGAAATCAAACTGCCGAGGTAATTAAATTCCGCTACATAATCCAACAGTTCATTTCCGATTTTTATAGCATTGTTGTGATCTTCCGGGGGAGAGCACATGATTTTAGTTTTATCGATGTTCAACTTAAGTCCCAAGGCCTCGTATGCCCATGTATATGTGTTCAAGATTTCTTGCAATTGCTGTAACGTATTTGCAACTAGATTATTTGCTAGGTATTGCAACTTTTGTACGTATTTTTGCCCTGAGTCTTTTTATGTTGAACAGACCGCCGTCGTATCTGTATCTAATGCCCAAACCTCTCTCCTGCAGTTTGCTGTCCACTATAATGGAGTGCGCTGCCATGAATATATTGAATAGGAGAGGCGCTAAGACACATCCCTGCCTAACGCCTTGTCCCCTGCCTGCCTAATCCCTGCCAAATAGCTCAAATTGCAATGGGAAGGACACCTGGCTAGAAGAACGGACAACAGATGGACCACAAAAATTGCAGCATGGTAATTAAGAGACCTAGAATTATTATTAATTTATAGAAACCGACATGTCGTGGAAGTAGCTCGAAACAAAACGAAATAGAACAAGACTACAGGAGACAACCGGAGATAAGCCAAGACGAGACAAAGTTAAAAGAGAAAACACGACCTTGACCTGCTTCGGACTGTTTTCCGCATAGTGCAGAAGGTGTATTATAACCAAACCATAAAAAGGAACTAATTTAATTTATAAGTTTATAACTACCCAGCTGATTAAATTACAAAGAAAGCCAACTCCAATTTAGAATCTCAGATTTAGATCTCAGAGTTAAGAATAAAGACTTCAAATTACTTATAATGAAACTTTTATAGTGTGTTTATTGTTACGCTGCGATATACAGTTAAAAATCTAATAACGGCGCCGGTATTATTATTCAAATAGGCTGCGTCGCTCTGTGCTGAATAATTTTCCGATAACCAAAGTACGCAATTAGCAAAATTGAAAAAAAACTGGCCAAGCGCGCTCGCCTCGGTCGATTCGGAGTTTATTATGGGCCGCGTTGATTTATGGCAACCAATATAAAGCAAAAAATATCGACAGAAGAGAGAACGCCGATGGAAATGTCTAGTTTAAAAAATAACATGTTTCGTACACTTTAGTAACTCTCGACCTAAATAACTAGAGAGATGGAAACAGGAAATAGTGAAATAAACATTTTCTTAATAAATCTAAAAACTAGATAATTCGCTTTACTTTGTTAATAAACTAAAGATCAACTGGTTATAATTCCAGGAGATGTACAGGGTGTTCCATTTTGGTTGTAATCATTAGAGATGGGTAGATCCAGTATTTTAAAAGAGTCGGGTCCGGAGTTACATCAAGCTTCATGGATCTGCATCCAGGTTCCAGTTCCGCCGGATCTGTATCATTCTACTCCAACCTTTAATTTAAATTTATCTAAAATTTGTTTTGCATGAAGCATTTAAAAGTTTACTAGTCCGTTAGGGAAATCTGATGTTTATGTTTTGCCAAATTCTTATAACCTGATATTACAAACAACAAACAAACAAAGCTTTATTGCACCAAAAGCCAAAATAGCTTCATTGACAAAGCATTTACAAAACAAAAAGCACAAAAAGATATACAAATAATAAAAAATGTCATACAATACAAATCAATTAAAAAAAAATTACGACATTAAAATTACAAATAAAACATACATGGACATTGTAGAACACAGGCGTATCAAGAAAATTTTACAAAAGGAAAAATGTAAATGGATAAAATCATGTTATATATCATAAAAATCAAAATAAGATCAATTAACCAGACTTTAACCAACTTTGTGAGATGATCAAAATTTTAAAATTCAAAATTGTTCTTCATTAAAAATCAACAAAAAAGTCGTTTACCGCATATAGGGCTCTCTCGAGTAAGTATGATTTCAGAGCTTCGCGAAATGCGGGGAAAAATGAAAGTGACTTGATATTCAAAGGCAAATGATTGTACATTTTCTTGGCATTGTACAGTATTGAGGCCTTAACTAGTTCTGAGCTCGGGGTTGGCAGATAAATATCGTGCTCCATTCCTAAGCGGATAGTTGTGAGAAAGCCTTTCCGGAATAGCAGATATGTGCTTGCGGATTACATCTCGTGATACTTAATTTGTTTATTTATTAACGAGTCGTTGTAATTTTCCCTATAGCTTGATTTTTTTAAGTGCAAGCTAGAAACACTTGCATTTTTGGAAAAAATAAGTGGAATTGAGTGGGTGTTCGATAGTGGTCGCGCTATTAGAACTCTGAATTCAAAAATCGATATCTCGAAATCTATTAGAAATAATAGAATGCAGTTTTTTCAAGAACTTTGTTAATATTTCTGCTGATAGGGAAAGGCGTATCGGCAACGCCGCAACAGCACACCGTCGCGCGTCGGAGATACGGGGACTGTCCCAAATTACAAAGTTTTCG